TCCTTTAAAGGTAACTTTCATTTTTCCCGAGCTATTCTTTTTATTTTTGAAAATTAGATTTTGCCTTGGTGATTTTCTTTTGGGATTTATTCTGTTTGGAGTTCATTTAACTTCTTGAATGACAATCTTCTCGTATTTCATGATAGGAAAGTTTTCTTCCAACAACTCTTGGACAAGTTTCTCTCTCTCTTTCACTGTGTATGTGTTAATCTCTTCCTGTTCTGGAATTTTAATCATATGTAATTTATTCCTCTTGATAGTGTCCCATGCAAATCTTAGTCTTTCTTCAGATATTTTCATTATTTTTTGATTGTTCCTCTTTTGAAGATGAATGTTCAGAAATTTGCCTTTAAGCTCACTAATTTGTCCTTTTATTGATCCAATTCTACTTCTTTGTCCTTTTATGTATTATCTATTTCTGAAGTCTTAGTAACATCCTGGCTTTCTAATTCTTGTTTTTGTGTAATTTCTAATTTTTCAGTTATTTTGTCAGATCATTCTTATAGTGTTTTCCTGAATTCTTCTATTTTTCTTTTTGTGTGTGTATTGTTGTTTTCATCAATCTTTCTCTCAATCCACTGAAGGTACCTAAATACCATGTCTTCACATTTCTTATTCAGTAGTTCTGATACCATTTCTGATATTACATCTTCTGATACTGTATTTTGTTTGAGGCACTCTGTCTTTTTTCTTCTTGTAAACTGAAATTATTTTCTCCTAAGCATTGCAGTGTCATTGTTTTTAACTGATGGTGGTATGTTGGTATGTTCTCAGCCACTCACCACCAGTCTCCTTGTGGATGTGATAGAGACTGGAAGTGTGAACACAGTTCTCTGTTTGTGTAGTGTGTAGTTCAGGGCAAGTTTATGTGCCTCCAGAAGCAGGGGTGGTACTCCTGGCGTCTGACCTCAGGCAGAGCAGAGGCAGCACGGAAGGGGGTGCCACTGGCCACTGGTTTGGCCATAGTGGGACTGGCCATGCCCCTGGTTGTCAGAAGGGCAAGGGAAAAAGGGAGAACGGCACTTCCTCTTGTCTCCAACCTCCAGCTGAACCCTATGCCTGCAG